TTATCAATAACATCAAGGTTTACTTTATTATACTCTATGTACTATAATATTTATAATTGAGTAGGTACTTGGAACAAAGTTGGACACAAAGTATGGTAAATGAATTATGGCACATGATATGTACAGTATGGAGGAATCTTTTTTTTCTCTTTCCTCTTGTCGTACATTGCGCGCAATTTGGTACGCTCAAGAAGCCGCGATAATGTATGCTTGCGAATTAATACAAACTCATGGGACATTTCGCCGCTAACACGCACATCAGTGATGCACAGAACACGTCGTTCGCTCTCCGTGCTGTCATGACGGGCGGAACTCTCTGGGAAAACTAAAACTGCATCGGATAATCGGAGAACAATCGGTATAACGCGCCTCGAAACGAGAACAGAAAACAGAAATCCGTTGCTGTCGGGAGAGAAGGATATAACGCGCGAGGACGTGTGATTCACTTATACGCGAATTACGCTACGCATTAGAAGCGGATGCAAGTTCAACTAATACAAACTAACGACTACATAATTTACAAATAGATTTACAATTCGTACAATTCGTCGATTATGTACAGATCCTCGAGGGTGTGCCTACGAATGCAAGGGACAATTTCAAGCGCCCGTCTCGAAGTAAATCAGAAGTAAAGATAACACCAAACGGCATCGCGCTGTGTCGGGACGCATGATTTATTTATACATAAACGTAGCCTCGCGAAAAACATTGCTCCAAGTTGCACGCAACATATTTACATAGAAATTTCTACAATGTCAGGCAATTTAAACTAGTACTTTATGATATGTCTTTATAATTATATTATTATATCGTTCGCGATAGTTACAGTCTTACTCATAAATAGCGTTTCACCTTTTACACTGATCGCGCGTTTAATTACAATTTATAGAGATTAATGAGAATTTAATCGCTGTGAAATTATGATTATGATTTGTCGATCGTTTATTACACACATATAGAGATTCATTATTCTGACACATCTGGAGTTATTATGAGACACGTTGAATGTGTTGTACGTAGACATAGTGTAAACATAAATATGCTGTACGATGTTATCTCTATTATATTAAACGACGACTCGCGGTCGCGTTGCGGATTTTACCAGTCTGTAGATGCGCATACGTAAGCGTTGTACGTTGAACGCTTCGGTAAAGAGTGTAGAACGAATAGATGTAGAACGTAAGCGATTTCTCCTTAATGGAAGATAAATATATGCTCTACTTGTCTCTTTCTCTCCCTCTCTCTCTCTCTCTCTCTCTCTCTCTCTCTTTCACTCTTACTCTTTCATTCTCTCACTTGTTCTCTCACTCTTCCTTTCTCTCTCTTTTTCTTTCTCTCTCTCTCTCTCTCTCTCTCTCTCTCTCTCTCTCTCGCTTTCTTACGTTATCGTATCAACGCTATTTAAAATAGTTTTCGAATAGTTGCCTTTGGTTCCTCTACGTTTACAAGTACCTTTACGCGTAAAGTATCTTAACGAACCGAATAACGAGGAATCGGCGACGTCGTCTCGCGGAAAACGGCATTTAGGGTTCGGGCGTTGCAGAGTTCACGTTGCTGCACGAACAGTCGCGCGTTGCACTTTGGCAGATTCTCGATCGAATGTATGTCGGGGGACAATTGATCAACGACATCGCGTATCTCCCTACGTAGAATTCAACTATCTAAGCTGGCCACGTGAACACCTATGAGTAAGACTTTTAAATTTAACAATTCATTTTGGCTCTCCTTCAATTTATATGTATAAACATTTAATCTAATTGCTGATAATAATCATTTATACTAATTATTAGTTTCCGTGACTTCCCTTTTTTTCTCCCCTTCCTCCTTCTCCTCCTCTTCCTCCTTCTCTCCCACCTCTTCTTCTTTTCCTTTATACAAATGCTGCCGTCGCACGGTTTTGACGTGTTTAATACTTTTTCGGTTACCCGGCCGAGGGAACCCTCGCCGGGCATCTGAAGCAATCGTTGATGATCCGCGCAATCGCCATAAAAAATGAATATGTATATATATATTATATATAAATATATATTATATATAAATATATATATATATATATATATATATATATATATATATATATATATA